GCACCTGTTTTACAGTAAATCGGTTATCTACTGTAACATATTCCACGGCAGCTGTGTGTGTATCATTGCTTTCCGGAAGTTTTTTTTTAATTTGATGTACTCATACAAAGATCTAGCTGAAATTTTCATACAGATTATTACAGGGTTCACTTGAGTTCTCATGCCTGAGCTCTTTACGCATGTCGAGCTAAATAGAGATTTCTGCCGCACAAAAAAATAACTAAACTCACACATGAGTGTGTGCGAATCCCGATGAGGTTCAACAGTAGTTTACCCTCTAAAATATTACATAAATTTAAAAACAAGTTCATCTTTTAAATCCTGTTTACAGTTCTGTGCAACTGAAATCCTGTTTGAAAAATGGAAGTTTCTCGGAAATTATGGCCAGTGTTATTGTGTAATGTTTGTGCTACCCAGGATTCAGGTTACGCTGTTGTATTTTCATAATAGCCGTAGTTTAGCTATGTTAGTCTTGGTTCGTGTTCTGATCTCGATAAAGAACTAGATCTCTAGAAATATATCTGCAAAAATTCTGTACTTCAGGAGGATAATTTATTTTAATACGAAAATAAAGTGTATTGTTTAAGAGACATATATTCTGGGATATAACTCCATATAGTCTGGTGAAAGTCAACCGACGTTTTGGAGTAACATGTTGCATCACTCTTCAGTATCGAAGAATAAACAAAAAAAAAAAAGAGACCAGCATGTCATGGTTACGAAGCAGAGCTTAGCTCATTCTCCAGATCTGAAGATGGATGCAGCTGGCTTTCAACAGACTACACGGCGTTATATCCCCAAAATATAAATCCTCTTGAATTAATATTAATTTTTTCTCGTATTTGATATTTAGTTTAAGATGTGTCTGCCTGCCAATGGGATCGTTGTTTTCTGTGTTGTTCGCCTTGTGTATCATACAGACATAGAGCTGAGTCGAGAATATATATACATAGTGTGGCCCAGAAGTCAATTAATCTAAAACATTCCCTTGTATTAGAAGGGATTCTCAAATTTAGACCTACAAATCAATCTGTAGAACGAGGTTAGAGCGTTTTAAGTTGTGCATTTAACACGGAGGATTTTATTTTAAAAAAACTTTTATAAATCCTGTAATAAATAAAGAGGTTTCTAACGTATTTTAGTGTACAATTTACTAACCAGATAACTGACGTTTGAACCACCTGTATATATATGTTTTTTACTAGTACTAAAGCAGTAAAATAACAAATCAAAGTAATTATTTCAAGAAATTCTTGGTGGATTTCCAGTTTCACTGCATATTTCTAGGTACTTACTGCAATAAATATGACAGATATAGGCCTAATGATCCCCATTTTTATTTGTTTGGAAATTAAAAAAAAAATTAATGTCTCGCGGACCAGTGGATTCGTCTTGAGCATGAGTGACAAGTGACGTTTGAGTGGGGCACAAATACGGTGTTGTTTCCAACACTGAACACACGATATACAGACAGGAATGTAAAAGCTGGTTGAATAGTGCATGGAGACCTGCCTTTCCTTGGGTTTCTTTGTCTTTGTCGCCTGATGTGCTAATAACATAAGAGTCCTCGTAATAAGCTGCCTTTTATCCACTCAATGTCTAGCTTGGAAACACTGCAGCTGTTTCTTTCACCATACTTTAAACTCGTTCGTTCCTTTACGGACACATAACTTCAGGAGATGAGCTTTATAGCTTCCAATTAAATATTCATAACATACAATTACAGCCGCTAATGTTTGGGGAGTCGGGGTAGATCAGTCGTTATAGTAAAGAGCTACAGGATGGAAGGCCAGAGTTCTATTCCAGGTAGGGTAAACAGATTTTTATCTACATCACAGCGTCAAGACCGACTCTGGGACACAACTAGCCTCCTATTCGAAAGGTCCTGGGAGCGATTTTCCGGGTGGTAAATCTTCCAGAGCGTGAAACTGACTATTCACCACCTTCTAGCGCCGAGGTCAAGAATATTGGAGCCATAACTCCACTCCTCACATACGTCTTCATGTCACAGAGCTTAGTTAATTACTCACAGGGACAAATTTATTTTAATTACTTTAATTACCTACCACTTAATCTGGGTTGTTTGCAACTAGCTGTACTTAAACTAAAACCAAGGTAATTACCGTATTTACGCATGTATAGGCCGCACATTTTTTGCCAAAAATTCAAGAGGAAAAGTGGGGTGCGGCTTATATTCGAAATATTCGAAATCACACTTCATTAAAAAAAAATATATTCATAATTAGTAATACAGGGTATTCTACAACCTGAAATAATATTCCAAGAAAAATATTTTTTCAATAATTTCTGTCTGAAAATTGTGCTGCGGCCTATACACGCACGCGGCCTATACATGCGTAAATACACTACTATTACGGCAAATTCAAGATATAGCTATTCGCAGATTTGTGTGCACTATAAAAGGAAGCATTTTAGAAATGCCAGTTTGATACTGTCTGGAGAAGTGGTACAAGTACGCATATATGAGGTGGAAGGGAGCGTGCTTAAGGACGAAGACCGTTATGAACTTCCTTCACCGAGCTGCTGGAAGGGACGCCATGTCTTAACATCATATCAAGGAAACTATAGTTCATCCACGATTTAATGATCCCTGACCCCGACTGAGTTTTGCATACCAACCCCGAACTCGATCCGAAGAAAATTCCGCTATTATCAAACAATAATTTCAGTTACAGTCACCGCAACATGCAAATTCAATCAGGAATATTACGTTAATATCACAGGGCTTAACAGTCAGCTCACCTGGCCAACACATGATTGTGAGCCAATGATGTATCGAGGCGGCTAGAGTCTTTATACGAGGGTTCATTAAATATCGGCTAGGCTCTGCCGAGGTCACGAAAATTTGTCCCATAGATCGAGAGCCTCCACACTTCCTTCAAAGTGTTATTGCTCCGTATTTATTCGCCCAGTCATTCTCTTGAAATAGCTGTCTATATGGATAACCGCACGATTAGCTACAAGCACTTTGGACCGGCTCATAGAGACCTGGGAGGGGGATATGCATCAATAGTGGGGAAACTTGAGCGTCACTATCCCACCATCTATGGGAATTCTTACCGCGACCTCAGTATAGTGCATAATTTAGAGGGTAAACGTAACAATATTACATAACGATAGTTGTCGTCAGTCCATGTTTCAAGAACAGTTACAAGTGTCATCGTAGGCACTAAAATATAACTCTCATTCATGCAAACAAACACAGTACATCTGATTATGGGATACCAATTTATTTCTACCAAGTCCACAGATGTTACACTGTCGTGGATAACTGATAACTGAAGAGAATTTAGCTTGTTTTCTCAGGATTCAATTGCTCTTCCCCCCCCCCCTTGGCACTACAGCCCCAGTGGGCCTAGGCCTACCTCTATGAACTCCGTTCACTTCGGTTTTTCTAGATCTTACACATTCGGTAGGACTCCTTGGGCGGGTGTCAGCTCGTCGCAAGGCCCCTACCTGTAGACAAACACAGAAAAACGCACACAAATATCCATGCCCTGAGTGGGATTCGAACCCACTCGCTTCTTAGCGAGCGAAGACAGTGCATGCCTTAGACCTCTCGGCTACCGTGACCGGCTCAATTGCTCTTTGCCATTCTGAATATTTTTATCTGTTCCATTTACTCCTCAAGAATCGGTGTTTGTAAGAATCAGAACGAGACAAGAACCTTTTGTAAGCACCTCAGAAATTTCGTAATGGTTCTGACATTGACCCAGAAATGAAGCAAGATGTCCCTTATATGCGTATTGTGCACGCAGTGCAAATAAATCATACAAATTAATTTAAATATGGACGTATTAAAAACATTAAAATTAAAGAGTACTATTAATGTTTATTTTTTATTTATTTCTCATAATAAAACTTTGTTCCAGCATCGCTTAGCTCCCACGACTTTAAATATCATTTTTACTCCACGCACCTAACCTTCAGGACAGAGGAAAATAAATATATATTAAAGAATGTCTCTTGTATTTCTTCATATGCACCGTTAGTTGAACTGAATATTTCCTTTTAAATTCAAAATTGGTAACCCACAACCCAAGTTTTGCATCCTGTTCTTATATCCCCGTTTTGTAGAGAATGCTCGTGTCCCGAGGAATAAGTAAACACCATCATTTGAGTACATACTCACGCCCCATAGCACTTTCAGCTGTTAGTATTTTGGGTTCCTGAAAGTGCAGACTTTCAGTAGACGGTTTGTGACGCTGGTGGCTTCCATGTGCGGTCATAAAAAACATCGACACTGCTTTCCCGCTTCTGTTAGCGACTACGCAGAGTATTGAACACAATATTGTAACAGAAGAACATGTAAACGTCTTCAAACGATTGGTTTCAGTGTGTAGAACAATTGAAGTTAGTTATTTCGTCCTATAATCAACGTCAGTGATGTTTTGTCTCTTTCCGTGAAACCTCACTGGCAGGCTGACATTCTATAGGTTTTATTGAGCAGATATTTTTACATTACCTAGAATCGTAACTTTCATAGCATTAGATGTTTCGGGTGCCTTCATTATAGGTTTTACAAAATCCTCGCCATAAATAAAATAATGAAAAATTTAATATAAAGATTAAAGAAAAGAATGTACCATTTTTTCCATTTCTTGTTGTATTTGTTTAGGGAATTGAGAAATACGTACGCTAATTTGGTCCGAAACTCAGAAGGGAAGAGACAATTTGAAATATCAAGGTGTAAGTAAGGTAAGGTAAAATTGTCCCCGTGCATAACTAATTAAGAACTAGGACAAGAAGGCGTATGGGAGTGGACGTATAGATCCACATTTTATTGCCCTCGGGACTGGTCGGAGGTGAGTGGTCAGTTTCACGCCCCGGTCGCTTTACATCATGGGAAAGAGGCCCCGGTATTCATTGGATAGGAGGCTGGGTGGGTCCCAGCCTCCTATCTGGACGACGTGGAGAAGAGAAAATTCTTGACCCTACCATGACTCGAACTCCGACCTCTCGGTCGTCCAGCCCGTGCCAGTAGCTATACCGACTGAGCTATGCTGGCTCCATAGGTATCGGTAGGAGGATAATATTAAAATGGATATTACATATGTATGATTTGAAATTGAGGACTGTTTTCATCTGGATCAGGAGGGGATGCAATAGTGGCTTCTATGAAGACGATACTCAGCCATCAGCGTTTATGTCACATTCAAATTTCCCTCAACTTCGGATCTATAAGTCTTTCAAGAAAGGTTCGGTACCAAGGACTTTGTGCAGAATCCTCTCTATTTGTGATTTGATGCTGCCACAATGGTGACTATACAGATTGTATTCTGATATATGACGCCGTGTAATCTGGTAGATATGTGTCAATGTAACTGAGAAACACGCTGACTATATTTTCGAGATAGAAATGTAAACGTTAACTTCTACGCTGTATATGGAGACAGCACGTTCATCCATAAGGTCAATATATATTTACCAAACTACACGGCATCATATTGTAGAAGACAGTGTTCTCTTTTTGTGAAGAGCCCTTTATATTTTATAGTTTATTTAATTAAGTTGTTCCTAACTCAGATTATTGGTTTGTACAGTGCTGATTATGAAAATCAGTTATGTATTGGGAAGGATATGAAAGGAAATGGTCGTGGCCTATTTTAATGGATTCCATCATTTCCCCGGAAAGACTGAGGAAAACCAAACCACAGTCAGGATAGCTTGCTTCCCGCTCGAGATGCGAAACGGCCACCTCCCAGATAAAGTCAGAAGAGTTGCTGATAAAGACAACTTTCTTGGTTGAAGAGGCATGTAAAACGCCAAGATAATAATAATTTGTTTACACCCCATTCGGAATATACCTGGAATGCGTGTAAAGAAACAAGGCAGGTAGCAAGACTAAATGAAAGCGTAGTTCAGAACGCGCCAACTATTCCGAAACGTCCATTGTGTCTTAACATACTACTGTTGCAATAGAGAGGCATCGTGTGAACCGCGCGAAAAATACTTCCCCGACTTGTAAGCCAATAAGAAGCGGTCGTACTCTCGCCTGTTGCCGCTGCTTTGCTTACACACACTCCTTAGACATGGCGAACAGAGTATAGTTGGAACTGGGCTTCGCTCTTTAAAATAACCACTCACTAAGAACCACAATAGTCACACCTCTGATGCCTGTAACACACATTCCCATGTAACACAGCGACGACGAGACGTAAGGATAATATTAAAAATGTTGATGCCACTTAAAACACATCAACTAATTCGTGTAGGCACCGTTATGTCTTGTGGTGTGGGCTCTGCGAGAGGCACTACGGGTGATATGACGTCATCGTGTTGTTAACAGGAGCTCATCTGAAGGCCACGGCCATGAGGCACAGGAGCAAAATGGCGCCCTCGGGGTGTGACGCTACCGGGCTCCGGCTACCATGATGTAACTCTGCGAGGCTCTCTCCTGGAACAGACAGATGCCCACTTAAAGGGTTGCAATCATTGGAGAGGGAGTTATTTTTTTATTACAAGTGGGGTGGGACTAAGTCCCTTGTACTGAGACCACTTCTGGCCCATTGTACCGGCCCAAGATGATAGGTGAGGGTGATTGTGGAGCAATTGGTGGAGTGAAGATTGGCAGGGGAAACCGAAGTACTCGGAGAAAACATGCCCCAGTGCCACTTTGCACACCACAAATCCCACTTGACCAGACCCGGTATCGAACCCGGGCCGCCGCGGTGGGAAGCCGGCGACTAACCGCTTGAGCTACGGCGCGGCCTGGAAAGGGGGTTGTACGGTTTCTCATTCGCACTTCACCAACCAGATGTCTTTAACGCCATACTAGATTTCACACAGCAGTGACACAGCAAATTACGTAAGAATTTCTGTGAAGAATATATGAAGATACAATATTTGAGTCCCGTAAGGCGGTGGATATTAAGATGTAGGAAGTGACACATTGTTGTGTAGGTGTCAAACTTCCGGTGGAACCGACTGCTCGCCTTCAGGAGTACCAGAGGATAGAAGAAGCGGTTTCCTCCAAGTCGTTTGCGTACAAGTTTGTTGGTTAGCCTTATAAAGAGTAGTGGATACTGCATGTATTACGTGCTTCAACATTCGAGAAATCGGCATTTTACCTACACAGTGTACTTGGGGCTTTTTATGATGAATGAGCAGTACTTTCTTCCCTAAAGGGAATTAAATTACTTTTTCTTTTTCTTTTTCTCTCTCTCTATGGCTCTACAGCCCTTTGGACTTCGGCCNCATTAAACTACTTTCTCTTTTTCTCTCTCTCTATGGCTCTACAGCCCTTTGGACTTCGGCCACTTTTTAGTGTCTTAATCTTATCCACAGTCGGTATGACTCCTTGGACGGAGGATCAGTCCGTTGCAAGACCGCTACCTACACACACAACAACACCACAATACACGCTCACGGACATCCATGCCTCGAGTGTGATTTGAACCCACAATCCCAATGTTATATATAAAGTAAAGTAAGGTAAATCTATCCCTGTAATAGGCTGTGGAGGCCCATAGGGTTGTGAGACGTTGAGGGTCCCACGTTATCTAGACAATCGGCTCAAAGATGGCGTAAGGTTGTCAGCCTTACGCGCCGGCCGCACTTTACTCCCCAGGAAAATTATTTTCTGGTACTCATTTCTGTTAGAGGCTGAGTAAACCCCAGGGCCTAGTGTGGCTGGAAGGATTAGGTAAACTGAAAAAAGTCCAATGACCTCATCGAGACTTGAACCCGCGACCTTCCGGCTTGTAGCATAGCCCCTCAACCAACTACGCTACCACGTGCCCCCTTCTGTAATATATACATAAATAAAATAAATAAATAAATTACGCGATTTAGATGCTATCAGGAGCCTCCTTGTGTGAGAAAATTTTAAGCGATTCCTGAAGATTAATTTTGCGCTTAGAATATGTCAGTAAACGCAGAAAATGCACACATCCTCGCTTTACTCCAGTGAGCATTCTGACTGCTACAATATTAAATTTAAGTAAAGTCATGGTTCCCATATTTACTGCGCATTGCAGTCCCCTCCCTGATGCGTACAACTGTACTTAAGCGACGTAGTGTGTATCAAGAGACCAAATTGTTCTTGTATACACAGCGTGAAATTTTACGACATAATAAAGCCCAGCCTGTCCGTTTATTCTCATAGTCTCTGTACTTCTGTGACAGCATATTAAGCACTCAGTCCAGACTGCAAATATATTTTCCTGCTATGTTCATCTAACCATGAATGCATTATTATCTGACTTTAGACAGTAATTCTGGTATATAAAAACTTCTAAGGTCGCTACTTTTTTTGACCTGCTATTTTCTTCTGTTATAAAGCCGTCTGTAATATTTTGTTAAGGCCGCGTAATTAAGACCATTGATCAAGTCAAGGAGGATGAAGTGGGCAGGGCATGTAGCACGAATGGTGGAGAAGACGAATGAATATAGGATATTGGTGGGGAAAGCCAGAAGGAAGGAGACCACTGGGAAGACCAAGGCGTAGGTGGGTGGATAATATTAAAACGGATCTTAGAGAGATGGGATTGATTTGGCTCAGGGTAGGGACCAGTGGAGGGCTCTTGTGAAGACGGTAATGAACCTTCGGGTTCCATAAAATGCTGGGAAATTCTTGAATAGCTGCAGATTTGGCTTCTCCTCAAGAAGGGCTCAGCTCCATAAGTAAGCAATTAAGATCAGAGTCAGAGATCTTTAATGCACTTTGCAGAGCGCAGTTTCCTTCTCTTCCTGCTTAAGCCTGTGGAGGTTGAAGATATTGGTGTTAAAACACTCTTTACTTGTGAGCCCTGATGTACTGGAAATGTATCAAATATATGTTGTTAAGTGATGGGAGTGGCTATTAGGCGGTAGTTGGATTGGCAATTGGATTTACTGAACTTTTTACAGCTCGTGACTTCAGAACACTCTCACACAAAGGCTAGCGTTCTCAGTCAAGGCTGTGCTTGGTAACGGCTTCCAACAGTGGGCGTTCCTCTGCTTCTGGGCTCATCACCTCGCAGACACAACTAAGTCAATGTTCCAACTAACGACCCTCAGAAGAAGAGTCAGAGTTACTTTATGGTTGGCGGTCTTGGCGTCAAGCCCCTTGAGGTTCAGGACCAGAGATTTTTTCTTTTTTTGCAGCTGAACTCTATGCTGCATCCTCTCTGACCAGAGGATGGGGTGGTATCTTATGAATATGCTTCACCTCTGTCAGGTGTACGAAACGCAGATATACGTACGCAGATCGACATGGAACTGGAGAATGCCTTTTCCTCTCGGCAAGCTGACTGTCTCATAAAAGTGATATTTTGGAATAAAGAAGCTCTCATGTGGTTTGAGAGGAATCTATGAGACCAGAGTCTTGCAGCTGTTTACTGAGCTTATGCTCATACAATGATTCTCCACCAGGGGCACTGCAGTCGGTACAATAGCGACATCTCTGCAGAAAACACAGTGTGCCCTGTGGTTCAATAAAACTAGATGTGTGAAACGAGCAGAACAAAATTTTCGGACGGAATTTTGAGCAATTCAACTTTCTAAGCCATCCACCTGTGCATTTTACAAATGTTTCTGAGAGACAGGTTGTTTTGGTAAGGGCGGCCGCACACCAACTGCTTCAAGACAAGAGACAAGAAACGGAGTCTTGCTTTGTTCGTGACGTCAGCATCAAGACTCAGACCGGTGTGCGGCAGTTTTCATAATCTCATTCGTTTCAACTGTGCTCCTTTCTTTGCGTCATGTGGCAGACATCGTGTCATGACTGTTACATGTCGGTGTGCGGCCTACCTAAAAGGAAAGTTCCGTTTGGTGCAGGATATGTGGATAGAACTGGAACACCACCCTAACGTGTACATATTGTCACGTGTTGGGTGTATATCACGCGACAAGTAACTTCACGCCTTATTTGATGTAGCGAATTTATTGAACACTCGCTCTTACAATCACACAATTTACAGTTTCACAAGTACTGCCATCTGCAGTATCACAGATTATCAGATCAAATCTTCCAACCACGCGTTCGGGTCTTCTTCCCCCGACTGCATATACTAGAAACCTGTAATCCATGAAATTAACTTTAACGGTTTTAGTTTAATATCCAGGTGTCCGGATGTTGCATGTTGCCTGATTGCCTCAAAATAATTTTCCGAAAATGGCAAGATCATTTGTACTAACGAAGTATTAGACCAATTAGAATAGAATTTACGTAAATTTTAACCAACCGTTTTATTAAAAGGTGGTGTTAATCTTGCCAGAAAGAGATTAGATAAAATTATATGTGAAGTTGACGTTGCAAGAATTCTTTATAGTGTTTGAACGCTTACAGAGCATGAGGTGGATAAATTTCCTTCTCTGAATTTCAGTTGAGAAACGAGGACCACTTGACTGTACGATAATATAAAAGCATTTTCGGAGCTCTAGTTTAAACCATATATTACAAAGCCGGGGTATCAAGTCAAGAGAAACGTCGCGGCCACCCTGGCTACACGGACCCCTTGTTTTCTGGAGATATGGAAAATGTTGAAGGCTGAGTCAGCTAGGGTTCTCGCTTGTGGCGGTTCGTGGGAACTGGCGGGCGATAATCGGTTAAGTACCGCAGAACTGGAACTATTCCAGATGTCCTCCGAACATAACATTGAGTCAAGAAAAGAAAATAAGATAATGAAGAGAATGGCTATACTTAGCTGATTAAATTTTGATTAGAAGTAGGTTTACTCTGCCTTAGCAAACGCTGGCCAACTTGGAAAGCTTTATAAGTATTTTAAGTTTTCAAATAAAAAATTAAATTGTAGGGCCTTTTTTATTTAATTATAAATTAAAGTCTTGTGATTTGTTTCTCATCACGTAGATTTACAGTGAACATAATCTACAGTCTGAAGCTGCCGAAATGAGAAAATACTGTTATGTTCTCTAACCTATTTAATATTTCAAATTATAATGTTCTTACTACTCTTAAAGGAAATGAAATTGCACCTTGTGGATGATCACGTCCTACTGGTCGAATCTGAATATGATCTACAATAACGTAAGTATTGATTGAATAATAGGGTATATAGTCTGTATATTCCTATCGCCGTGGTCACTCGGTCTAAGGCGTGAATTGTCGAACTCTCGAACGCTGGGATACTGGATTCGAACCCCACTCGATATATGGATATTTCTCTACGTTTATTCCATGTTTGTGTTGCCCTGTGTAGATAGCGGCCATGGGACGGGCTGATCACACGGAAAAGAAGTTATATTTTTACAAGGTAAATACAATTCAACTTTTACAAGAGAAAGAGACATTTTTCGTCCTCTGAGCATCATTGGAAATAAATGCAGATCAGATGGATGGATGTTCTGAACGAGCCATCTCGTACTGTCCACTTCTGCTGTTTAAGTACTCGTAGCTTAATGTACCGCAATAGAATCTGTGTAACAGGTCGTGGAGGTTCATAAAGTTGTGAGACG